CTCCGGGTTGTATCTGCACTGTAAAAAAACACAAACAGCTACTTCAGCTCAAGACCGTGGACTGCCCATTGACATTTTCACTTCCTTAAAATACAAATAAATATAAAATAAATACATAAATAAATATTTTCTAAAAAAAAAATTATACGCGAGCATTTTAGGAAACTCAAATAAGGTGCATTAATTTGCCCTGTTGCATATACTGTTACAGTGACCCCCCCCCCCAGAAATAACCGAACGTCTGTCCTACCGAAACCCAATCCGATCGGGTCCAAATCCAGCTCAGCACCGACAATCAACCGCGACAGCAGAGCGATTCTGCGGCCGAACTCCCATGTTATTTCTCCCCCTTCCTCTGAAACCCCAAGCACCACCGCGATCTTCGGATCAAAGCGGGGTTTAGAGGGTTTTAAACACCGGAATTCCCATTTCTGTTGCCGATGTGACTGGCTCTAATGGCGGCGGCACCGGAGCGGGGGTAAACCAAAATAAACCTACTCCGGAGATACTGGTAGGAGGGATATCACCTGGATCAGCGGGCACATATGATTGGCTCTCGCTCCGTAAACACCGTGGAAACCAATGAGGGCGCATTTCTTTCGTTAAAGGGCTTCATGGCATACTTCCTTCACAAGCAATAACAATCAGGAAACCGTAGCTCTCGGTCCGCCATGTTGGCTCTAAGAATATCGGGGATGGAATATTAGGTTTCACTCTGCAGTGGAGCCAAAATGGAGTGTGTTTCGTGTGTTCGGCTCCACTGCCAAGGCCAGGGGGATGATGTCATCGTTTCAGAAAGATCTACCGCAGCATCACCTGCAGTGACATAAGGGCAGTTTTTCAATGAAAACAAAAATAAAAGAGTTGACATTATAGCTCCAGGGCCGTTAGATTGTTCTGCGTGTAGCTCTTTTATTTCAAAACAATAAATTAAAGGCCCAGTGGGTGGTTTTAGCTGAACCGTTGCTTTCATTTACTAATTTCTTTAGTAGACTCTTTTATTTTTTATTTCTTTAATCAATGTATTCGTTTTTTGAAGTGAAGACTGCATTAGAAAATAAATAAATAAAAAACGTTTAATTTCTTGCGTACATTTTTAATATCTTCTGATTATTTTTGTCCATAACATTTCTTTAGTGAATATTTAGTCTATTTTTGTCCATAACATTTCTTTAGTAAACACTTCAGTCCCTTATAATTTAGGGTTAGGTTAGTTATGATCAGTGAAACTACATCCTTTTGTCAGCTGATTGATTATATCTTGTATCGATCGATTAAGCAGAACAGATGAATGAATATGTTT